AGAGGGGGTGGGCGGGACCTGGCGGGTGGGCGAGGCTCCGGTTTTCAGGAGCAGAGACCCCCGTCATTGATAAGTTTTTTATTCGTTCCAGGGCCAGGCCTGAGGTGAGACGAGCGAGGCAAGGCTGTGCCAAGTTCAGGGACGGATCCTGCCTTTATTTAAATGTTCCTCATGGGTTCTTTTGAACTCGTTTCAGCTTTTTTAATATTCTAAGAAAATACTGTGAAATTTGCGTCCCTTACATTTTGTGCCTGAGGCGAGTGTCTCACGCTCCCCACTCTAGTCCCGCGCCGCTCTGCTCATGCTGCAGGGAGAGGATAGGGATGAGGGTTGGGAGCAAAATGGCGAGCGGGCTGAAGATGACTGGAACCTCTTCGAGGGGGTGGCCAGGGCGGGCCTTTCTGAGAAGGTGACAGTGACGCAGGCAGAGAGGCTGCAGAGGCCAACTGAATTAGTTGGACATCCTTAGGCTTCCAGGCCTCCTGTCTTTCCTTACGCTTTTCCCCCTGCCTGCATGCCTTTTCCACCTCAAGCTCTCCACCCCCGCCCCCAGCAGGCAGCGCCTGCCCAGCTTCTTCCAGGGACTCTAATCTTTATTTTCATTTACAGAGATAAGCCTGAGGCTCTGGGCTCCCTGGCCAGCCCGCCCTCAGGGTCCCATTCCTTGGGTCCAGCTGCCTGCAGAAGACCCAGAATGGACACTGCCCGGGGCTGTTTTCCAGCTGCTTTCTTCTGGCCCCCAGTATTGGCCCCCTGGCCGGGGTCTGCCACCGCTTCCCCCTGCGGTGTGCTAGGGGCCTGTCCAGGGGTGTCCCAGCGTCCCCCTGCCTCAGCTGCCCCCCTCAAGGCTCCCAGCCTCAGCTGAAGTTCTCCAGAGGTCTGAAAGTCACAGCCTGGCCAGGTTCCTTCGGAGTTCCTTGTGACTTCTTCAAGCCTGTCCACAGCCTCCTTCCCCAGCCTCTCTCCTGGATTGCGAGGGGATAGAGCCACAGTTGTATCAAAAAGCCCAGTTCCTCCTGCTGTGAGGAAACAGTAGCAGACACTGTGAAGCTGGGGGCCCAGGAGATGGGGAGGGAGCTCGGTCCCCGCCTGAATGTGGCCTGCCCCTGCCGCCACCCAGTTCCGCCACCCAGGTCCCCCACCGCCCAGAGGGCACTCTGCAAAGTTAGAAGCACTGCCCTAACTCTCCCAATGTCTCAGCACAGTCCCAAAGGCCCTGCGGGGTCCAGCCGCTGGCCCATTTTCGCTCCCTCGCTTTCACCCCTTTTCCCCTTAACTGTCTCTGCCCCAGAGGCGCTGGCCTTGCCAGGCTCATTCCTACCTCAGGGCCTTTGCACGAGCAATGCCTCCTGCCTAGAGTGCCCTGTCCCAAGACAGCCACATGGCTGGCTCCTCCTCATCTTCAGGCATCTGTTCAAATGTCACCTCCTCAGAAAGCCCTCCCTGACCACCCCAGGCCAAAGTCCCTACCACGTCCTAGCACCCTGTTTATTTCCATCAAGCCTTGCCATCTCGGATCATTTTATCGGGCTGCTCCCTTGTTCATCACCCATCTTTCTCACATTTCATCAGCTCCCCAGAGCAACGACCCAGGCTCTGGCCTACCATGTTCCCAGCTGTCCCCCATGCTGTCCGATGGATTGATGGATGCAGAACACACGGGATAAAGATAATTCTCGACCCACAGTCGGCTTCCGTGAAGGTGGAGGGAGGCTCCCTGAGCACGTGAGTGACACCCAGCACAGACTCAGGCCCTCCCGTCACTCTCTCCTGACTTGAGACAGTCAGCCCATCTGGGAAATAACTGGGCCACAGCAACCAACAGTCTTAACAATGCTCCCACCTGTGCTGTGCAACATGGAAGCCATGAGCCCTATGCGGCCACTTATTAAATTTAAATGAATTGATTAAAAGTCAATCAAATTTAATACCCAGTCATCAGCTGCAGTGGCCTCATTTCAAGTGCTCAAGAGCCATGGAGGACTGGCGGCTTCCATATTGGATGGCACAGATGGAGAATGTGTCCATCACCCAGAAAGTTCTAGAAGCACCAGTCTAGACGGTGAACTCCACAAAGAAGGGCAACTGTGTCTGGATTCTTCCCTGTTGTGTCCCTAGTGCTCAGCTCGGGGCTTGGCATTCAGTAGGTGCTCAATAAATGTTGACAGAAGGAAAGAAAAAAGGAAGGCGGAGGGGAGGAACGCTCTTTCTAAGAATCTGAACAAATAACATGAAAGACAGCAGGGTCTCTCCGTAGACTTTCATCTCTGCATTAATTATAATGGTGGAAAACAGAAAAATATCCTCGACGTGCAGCCAAAGAAAACCGGATGAGAAGGTCATGGGCAATCCTTGAGAGAAAAAATTGTAGCCCTGAGGTATGGGACCAATATAAGGCTATTGGTTTGTTTGTTTTAATAATTTTACTTTGATTTGTGTTTTAATAGGAACTATACTTATAAGGTTCAAAATTCAAAGGGTGTAAAAGCCTGAGCACAAAAGGCTTCTCCGTGTCCCCTGCCCCCAGGAAGCCGATGAGCGCATCCTGAGCCTACAACGTTGCCCGTGGCTCCCCGCTCAGTGCTGACAAACCCATCTCCCGCCTTTCAAACTTTTTTTTTTTTTACGCACAGAACTTTTCAACAAACACCATGCAGATGGAGATTTCTTCCACCTCAGCTCGCCCTAAAGCATTTCCATGCCCCCCTGGGGCTGGCCCACTCCTTGTGCACACAGTCCCCTCTTACTGGACACGGAGGTTGCTTCTGGCTGCGGCCAGAACAGAAACAGCATGTGAGGCATTTCACAATCTCGGGCAGGGACCTTTGGGGAAGATTCCTGGAAGCAGAGGCTTCTAAAGAGAAGGTCCCCCAGCTGCATCTAGGAAAATAGCACCCACAGGCCTCCCCCTCTGAAATATGCCACCGTGGGAATGAAGGACAACGCGGGGGGATGAGGGGAACGAGCGATTTTTTTTTTTTTCTCTTTTTCATGCTTCGACGTCTTCTGAGTTTGTTTTGGTTTTGCTTGGCAAAGGGTGCATTGCACTGTTATGGTCAAGCAGAGGCCGAAAGAAAGCTAGATGGCTAAAAAAAGACTAGCTGTTAAAAAAGTATGCTTATGCTTCTCGGTAGGTACCCAAAAGGATTGACAGCAGGGACTCAAACGGAGACTTGTACACTCACGTTCAAGGCAGCGTGATTCACAAGAGCCAAATGCTGTGTCCACGGACGGATGACGGATAAACAACCTGGTCCATCCACACGATGGAATATTATTCAGCCTTAAAAAAGAGACATTTTGACACCTGCTACAACATGGGTGAACCCTGAGGATATTATGCTCAGTGACACATCCCATGTGATTCTACTCTTGTGAGGTCCCCAGAGGAGTCAGATTCAGAGATAGAGAATAGATGGTGGGTGACAGGGGCTGGGGAGGGGAGGGGAGTGAGTGTGTAATGGGGACGGGGGACAGAGTGTCAGTTTGGGACGATGAGAAAGTCTTGGCGGTGGACGGTGGGGACAGCTGCACGACATGTAAATGTGCATAAAGCCACTGAGTGTGCACTTACAAATGGTTAAGATGGTATATTTTATGAAACACCTACTTCACCACGATAAAATAAATAAAAGTTCATGAACCCCCGAGGCGGGGGGAGCCCCAGGTGTTTGGGGAAGTGCCAGCTTCATGGGCTGAGACCTGTGCAGTCACCCAGGGCCCTGAGCTCAGAAGGGCCCCACCTATGATTTACTGCCCTGTGGCCACTGTCTTGAGATTTCTAATAATTTTGGAACCAGGGGCCCCGTATTTTCATTTTGAACTGAGCTCTGCAAATGATGTTGCCACTCTTAATTTGTGAAAAAGACCGGGAAGCCCAAGTTCAAGGTCCAGGCCTTTGGGGCTGGTGGAGAAATGGCCCGATGTGCAATGCAAGTAAGTGGTCTCAGAAGGGAGAGAATGAGACCCGGTCAGGAAATGGGCTCCTGACACAAGCCAGGAAGGAAGTGGGGGATCCTAAAATAGCACTGGTCGCCCAGCTGACAAGGGTGGGGAGGAGAGGTTGGACAGGACTACGCCATCTCCGGTGGCACAGTGGCCTTCCTGAGGAAGTCCCTTCCCGGACCCCAGTCCCTTGACTTTTTTTAAAATTTTTTATTATTATTTTTTATGCCTACAGCACCTGGTCTTCCTAGGTGGTCTCCCATCCAAGCACTAACCAGGCCCGACCCTGCTTAGCTTCCGAGATCAGACATCAGGCTTGTTCAGGGGGGCGTGGCCACCAACCACGAACTGTAGCTCCACTGGACGTGCTCACCGCTGCACTATGGAATCATGTCCCCAGCCCCTCTGCTTTGGTCTGCACAGCCAGACCTTGCACTCAATCCCTAGGAGTTAGATTTCAAAGCAAAGAAGGGGGTGCTGGGAGAACCACCCCAGCAGGCTGTGCTGGTCAGGGTTCTCCAGAGAAACACAGCGCATGGGATAGAAACAGAGACACATAGGCACAGATTTAATAGGGAGACCTGGCTCTCACCCCCGTGGAAGCTGAGAGGTGCCACGACCCGCCATCTGCCCTCTGCAGACCCGGGAGAGAGAGCTGGGGACGCGAGCCCAGGGCAAGGGCGGGAGACGGTGGACTGCCCGGCTCTCACGCTCAGACCGGAGGGCAGATCTCCCCTTCCTCAGCCTTTCTGGGTCCAGTGTGGGGCGGGCCATCTGCTTACTGAGTCCACCGATTCAAATGCTAACCGGAAACCCCCTCTCAGAGCCACCTAGAGATAATGCTTAAAAAAGTGAAGATGTAATTTACAGATTGCAATGTGCACAGATTCTAACTGTGCAGCTTAATTAAACTGCACAAGTACAGGTAAAACCATGGATACGGTAAAAAGTCTAGTGGATACCAGGGGGTGGCAGAGGAGTGAATGGGTGGAGCACAGAGGAGTTTTAGGGCAGCGAAAATGCTCTGTACGGTCCTGTAGCAGTTGGTATGTGTCATTATACATGTGCGACATGAACAGAGAACCCTGATGTTCGCTACGGACATTGAGTAACAATGACAAGTCAATGTAGGTTCATTTTTTGCAGGTGGATACCTGGGTCGTTTCCAGTTCGGGGCTGTGGAGGTTCACACGAGTCTTTTGCCGGACGTAAACGCTGGTTTTTTGGGATGCCGCATTAGTTTGCTGGTGCTGCCATAATACATTACGACAGGGGTGGCTTAATCGACAGTCTGGTTTCCTCCCAGTTCTGGAGGCGGGACTCAGAGGTCAAGGAGTCAGCAGGGCTGGTTTCTTTTCAGTCCTCCCTCCCGCATCCTCACCTGGTCGTCCCTCCGTGTGTGTCTGTGTCATCTCCTCTTAGAAGGACACCAGTTGTGTTGGATGAGGGCCCACCGCGATGGCCTCATGTTACCTTTGTCACCTCTCTAAAGATCCCATCTCCCAATACAGTCGCATCCCGAGGTCCTAAGAGTTAGGACCTCAACGCGTGACTTTCAGGGGACACATCCAGTCCATAACAGGCACCTGGCCTGTCAGGAGTTGATTTCCCGGGTCGCAGAATATACGTGAGTTCAGCTGTCATCGAACTGGCCAAGCTCTCTGGCTTCCTGTCTTCCGCGCGCCCCTGTGCTCACCAAACGTCACCCATGGGGACACTCCCAGTTAAAACAGGGCCTGCCTCAGCGCCTTTGCATGAGCTATCCCCCCTGCCTGGAATGCTCTTCCCACAGAAAATGTCTCGTCATCTGGGACTCAGGGAAAGTGTCACCTCTGCAGAGACGCCTTCCCTGACCGCTCTGGGGTGAAGTCAACACCTGCGTTTAGCTCTGTAGAGAAGCCACTGCATCAGAAATGACATCGTCTTTAGTTTATCTGACTTGGCGGGTCATAGGCACAAAATAACAATTGTGTCCCTGACAGTTGAGCCATCATGGAAACGGGGACCCCGGTGCACAGGGAGGTGGCCCTTCACACCGCACAGGACAGCTGTACCCACAAAGATAGATAATAACAGGCATTGGGGAGGAGGTGGGGACGTCAGAACCCATACACGTGGCACGTGGGCTCACATGTAAGATGGGGCAGCCGCCATGCAAAGCAGTGTGGCAGCGTCTCAAAGGGCTAAACACAGAGTCACCATCTGACCCAACAGAACGTTTACCCAAGGTCCCCTACAAGGACTGCCGTGTCCTTTTGGCTCTGGGCTGGGGCCCTCAGCCTCGGCACCAGTGACGCATAGGTGCGTGGTTCTTGGTTGTGGGTGTCTCCTGGTAATTGTGGGGGTGGGGTGGAGCAGCACCCCTGGAGCCAGGCACCAGGTCTCTCTGACCCCCAGGGGCCAGGGGCAATGTGGCTGTGGCTGTCCTGGAAAGCACTCAAATCAGGCCTGGGGCTAGGAATTCATCGTTGCCGCCTTTGGTCGGTAGGTGGCGACATTGACCGTTTGATATTTGGAAGGTCGGGAAGAGGGGCGCAGGGCCAGGGTCGGGGATGCGTGGCAAATCCCATTTGTCATGGCCAAATAACGACAACAAAGACATCGCCTGTTCCCGGGCATCGAGTGCTTGCTCTGGGCCAGGCAGTGGGGATCCGCAGCGAAAAAACCTTGAGCCCTCGTGGAGCAGACATTCTAAGTAAATGACAGACCACCAGAGAATCAGTACTGGGAAGACTCTAAAACAAAGAGCGGTCCAGGAGAGAACAGGACTATTTGCAATGGGGGCCCCCTCCCTCAACACCCCAGTTCCATGTGGCCAGGGCTTTGGGGAGAGTCCGTCGGAATCGAGCGCCCCATGAGGCGCATTGCCAGTCCCGTGTCATGTGGAGAGGTCATTTCAATGCTTCAGCACTTGTACTGTCCCAGGGAATTGTAGTAAGAATTAAATGAGATAGTATAGGAGTCGACCAGAACAGCATTGGGTTGCAAATAAGCGCTTTGTAAATATTCACCCTTATTAATCGGTAATAATGGTTTTTAATGTTATTATCTCATTAGCGTCAGCCTCTGGAACCTGGGAAAGCAGAGAACCGGGTGGGTTATCTGTAGTGGACATCAGGGTTCCCTAAGGGTTAAAGGGCTCTTACTCATCTACGGCCATGCCACCCTGAACAAGCCCAATCCTGTCTGATCTCGGAAGCTAAGCAGGGTCGGGCCTGGTTAGTACTTGGATGGGAGACCACCTAGGGAGACCAGGTGCTGTAAGCATTACATAAGGGAGGAGGGCTCTGAGCAAAGAGGCCACGCTTTAGAATTGGGCTACATTTGAGTTTGCTTTTGGAAATGAATGTTTTCTGGCCGGGGGAATGACCGATGGTTGGTGGCTGATCAATTCTCTGTGCGTGCGTGTGTGTGTGTGTGTGTGTGTGTGATGGGATCACAGGCCCTCTAAGAGTCTGGTTAGTTAGCTGGGGATTAATTTATCGAGAGAACTCCTGGGGACAGTAAACCTCTGAGAGACAGGAGATGGCATTTTCCCTTCCTTGTCAGGGTCCAGCGGGCTTTGATTGGCCTTCCCTGGGCAGTTGAAGGAAGTCCCGCTGCCTCGCTCCATGTCTGGGAAGTGCCTAGGCTGAGGATTACCACAAAAGCGGGAAGCACCTGGGGCCCATAGGACCGTCGTGGCAACTTCGGAGTGTCATCGGGATGATGAGCCAAATAAACACAGGCCACCCAACTTGGTGCCTCCCTAGGTTCATTTCTTGACTGTCTTGCAGACGTGGACAAGCTTATGGCCACCCAGGTGGGCAGCAGCTGACGCAGGCTTCTGACCGACTCCGGGGAGCTTTTGGCTGCCACTAAGCTTACAACGGGGAACCGATTCCACAGTTTTTCCAACCTTTTGGTTCTGGAGATGAACCTGTTGCCATGAGTTTCGAGGGTCATGTTACTTGTGAAGGATGTTGGAATCAAGACAAAAGGGACCCTACTGGTCAAAGCTCTTGGTGTAAAATAGACCAAAATCATGACTCAGGTTAGCTTAAAACAAAACAGAACAAAACAAAACACACAAGGAATTTGAAAGGTTCCCTGACTCAGGCGTGGCTCGATCCAGGTGCTTAAAGTGTTGTCCCAGCACAGAGCACTCCTTCTGGAGTCTGTTCTCTGTTTTGGCTTCACTCTCACATAAGCCTTGGGTGGCAAAAACGATTCCTGGCAGCTTGTGCCCTGCGGTGTGGTCCGTTGAACAGCATCCCTGGCCTACAAGTCTTGATGCCGCTTGATGCTAGATGCACCCCGTAGCAGCGACAGCTACAAATGTCCCCAAACAGTGCCTTTGTCCCTTTGTGGTTCGGGGGATAAACTGCTCCTGGTTGAGAATCACAGGGTTACACCTAACTAGAATGAATAACTGGATATGCCTACAAAATTAGGATTTTTTCTCCCGAGCGTCGAACGGCTCCCATCGCCTACTGAACAGATGGGAAAACTGAGGCCAGGGGTCCGCAAGAGCCCCAGACCATAATTGGAAGCGGGCCCCATGCAGTGGGGACCTCCCCTCCGGAACCACGTGGTGACAGCAAACTGGGCTCGGTGACTGTAGCGGGTGTCATATGCCCCTCCGCTTCAGTCTCCCCACTCTGCTGATCTCCCAAAGGGCCGACTTTCCCCGCCCACCCCATTGAGTCTCGAACCCCGGAGTCAGCGCTCGACCGGCAGTCCCACAAGTCACGCGAGCGGCCCCGCGAAGGGCGGAGCGAGGCGGCCGCGCGCGCGGCATTGTGGGGATTGTAGTTCAGGCCCCGCCTCTAACTCGCGCCGACCCCGCCCCTGGAACTACGCTCCCGTCGTGCCCTGCGAAGCCAGGTGGAGGCGGGGCCGGCGGGCCGGTTGCTAAGACTTGGTGAAGCGCAGAGCTCGCTCCCGTCTCTTCAGGTAAGCGCGCGGCCCCGGCGTCTCGGGCTTTCGTGGCCCAGGCTGCCGCGGAAGGCGGGCAGGTG